ACATGTCCCAGACTTGACCCTCAGTATTCCCTGTCCAAAAAAAACCTCTTCTCTATGAGAAGGGTGGCATGGATGGAGAACAGGGATGGATCTTTGTGGGAAATAAGCTGGCCTTGTCACTGGCCCATACTACAACCCTCACACAGCAGGTTCATGCCTCACTTCATATTGGTCCCAAGGTACTATTTCAATTTTTAAAGCCCCTCTTTTATCACCCTCAGCTTTCCACCATCGTTTCGCCTGCATTTCAGGCATGTTTTACATGCTCCACCACCACCCCTGAAGGGGAACTTAGGCCAGTCTTTACAACCCATCAAATGTGGGGCTATTTGCTTGGCCAAGACTGGCAGGTTGATATTACCCAATATGCCTACCCACAAAAGGATGAGGTACCAGCCAAGTGCTGGTGGCTCACGCCTGTAATCCTAGCTACTCAGGAGGCTGAGATCTGAGGATCTCGGTTCAAAGCCAGCCCGGGCAGGAAAGTCTGTGAGACTCTTATCTCCAATAAACCACTAGAAAACCAGAAGTGGTGCTGTGGCTCAAGCGGTAGAGCCCTGGCCTTGAGATAAAGAGCTGAGGGACAGTGCCCAAGCCCAGAGTTCAAGTCCCATGACCACCACCAACAACAAGAAAAAAGGATGAAGTACCTTCTTGTTCTGGTAAATACTCTCATGGGGGGGTTGAGGCCTTTCCAACTCCCAAAGAGATGGCAGGAGTTGTAACCTTATTTTTACGTTCAGAATTATTCCTCCTTTTGGCTCCCTTCTCTTCAATTTGATAATGGCCTGGTCTTTATTTCCCAAGTAGTATAACAGGTGTCTTTGGCCCGAGGACACAGCCTAGTCTCAGCTCAGGAACTTTGAGATAAACTCCAGGTGACCATAGAATCCACTGCTGTATCTCTAGCCTCACCCCAGCATTAACTTACCTCCATTGCACAGGTTGTTAAAACTGCCCAGCCTTGGACCTGCTAAATGGCCAAAAAAAGTGGAACCTGTCTATTCTTGCAGGAACAATGTTATTATATTAATGAGTTAGGTTTGGTAAAACAAAACATTGAGATCCTAAACAACTTAAAGAAGGAGCTTAAACATCAGCAGTCCAGGGGACCTATTCTGGATTGGTTCCATAGCCCCCTTGCTGGATAGTTACTACTAAGTAGGCCTATTAATTTTAATTTGTCTTTTCTTTTTATTTGCCTCATGCCTCTTGAGGTTCATCCAGAGCCCCATCCAAGAAAATGACCAGAGGGACAGTTAATCAGCTTCTTCTTCTCCACCCATACATTTGCCTGCTGACTACCCCTCCGGCATCCTAGACAGCAGGCATACAGCCTCACAATGCCCCTGTCCAGGCAGGAAGTAGCCAGATGACTTTCAATGCCCTATTAGCAAAGATGCCAGAAGGACAGGCCGCTGGAGGGCAGAGGCAGCCGAGAAAAGCCACTTCCTTATACACCACCTGTCCCAATCATTCTTCCGGGACACTAGTCCGAAACTGTTCAAACTTGCAAAACAAGTTACATGCTAAAAGTTCCTGCTGACCCCGGCCATATAAACCCTGCTACAACCAGACTCTGTGATCTCTCTGATTCTGAACAGGGAGTTTGCCTGGCAGCATACCCTAATTTTTCTTTCTTCACCTTTACCTCTTCCTGTGTGTTCTTTCCTCGCCTAAAACCTTACAATAACTTTTGTTGCTGTTGTTGTACTAGGGTTTGAGTTTAAGGCTTTGTACTTGCTAGACAGGTACTCTAACACATGAGCCACTCTGCAAGCACCCACCATTTTTCTACGCTAATCCTGCACTGTTATCCTCATGCCCACCCCCTCCCACCCCATCATCCTGTGATCCTTTCATTTATTTTTTGTTTTCCCACATAGCAGAAATGACAGATGCATGTCACCTTGCCTAGCCATTGGTTAAGATAGGATATTGAGACCTTTTTGCCTGGGCTGCCCTCAAAGAACAATGCCTGCTGTCCTCAAAGTAAAATGCCTGCTCCCTTTGCCTCTCAAATGGCTACAATTATATTAAGCCACCACCCTAGTGACATGACTTTTATTTGTACTGGGAAACCCCAAAAAGTATGATTCAACTTACTGCAATATATTCTTTAGGGTGGTAGTCTGGAACCAAATCTCTGATATCTTTGAGGTATGCCTGTACATCTTTCAAATGATGAAAGAAAAAATATACAGTCAAATTAGACTTTAATGTCAATGAAAATATTCTTTAAGAATTATAGGGTGTGTATGCTAAGGTGCCAGTGGCTCATGCCTGTAATCTTAGTTATTCAGCTACAGCTGATAACAACTCTGAGTCTCATACAGTGTCTTTGATTTCTTCAGTGCGCATAGAGGGTGCTAGTTTGGGGTTTTTCTATATCTCACAGCATACTATCCCCACACAGAAGTCCCTAAAGTCCATTTCATTCCTAAGTACTCACAAGTGATTCTCATTTCCATGTTTTCCCCCCTGTTTTTAGCTTGCACAGACCCAGTCCATCCAATGTGTTTTTACCTAAATCAGGGTCCCAATAATGATCTCATTCTCTTTCTTTCCCAAGTCTACTCCACACTTACCACACCTGATATGGTCTTCAGTCTCCAAGTAAACATGAAGAAGTAAATATTGGGCAAGTGGAAGGTGACATGAGTGCAGCTCACATGTGTACATATTTACTTCTGTTGCTTAGCTGTGCATAGAGGGAGAAAGAACAGAGATTCATCTTACTTTCAGTGATAATAGCTAATTAGCTAGCTAAATTCATCAAATGGATAAATAACATAAACATGTGCAGTATCCCTCTAGCTAGAAAAGTTTAGTGATAATAGAAAATGTTCCCTGATAGACAATCCATCTCCTCTTCACTGAATCCTGGATCCCAGGAAAGCTCCTGTACCTTCAGCAATCTTAATGCCAAATCCTCTTCATGTAGTGATGGAAAAAACCCAAGCCAAGGGTTTAGAATAGTGAAAACTCCTCTCCCAAAATGAATGGGAATAATGTTCTGAGGAATCACTGGGCATATTGGGATTAAGAGTTTAAGAGCAGTGATAAGGTTGGAGGGAGTAGGGTAGAAAGATAAAAGTAGGAATAACATTGTAGAAAGCCAGCAGGGAGGAAGGAGCCCTATCATCAATTGTGGGAACATTCCTAATTGAAAATCTTACCAATAGTGCCTGCAGTCTTGTTTCTGAAAGACTATTTGTGCCTTCAAGAGGATGGCAAATACAAAGACTTGAAATCTGAAGATGTTCTTACTTTGTTCAGCAGCTTCTGCAATCACTGCTGAAACAGTACATTTCTGCTCCTAAGTCCTGCTTGAGGCATCCTTGACTCACCTCCATGTGGCTGACAAGCATGGGTACTGGAGAAAATGGAAGCTGTTCACAGCAAATTGTTCAATTAGAACCAGGGACAGGGCAGCTTCTGTCATTGACAAGCTAATCCCAGGACAGCTCAAGATCACTAAAACTGTTTGTTAGTTCATTATGGCTTTCAGCAAAGGCAAAACAGTTAAGGAGGGGACAGACTGCATCTTCAGTACTAAGGTACTGATGTTGGTCGGTTGAGGGAGAGGGCAAGGCAGGTAGGTTGTCTAGCTTTCAGTCCTACTCCTCCAAAACTTCTGAGTAAAATGCTGATACCTTGGTTCCCCCTCCCCAAGCTTTTGATTGAATTGGTATGGCTTGTGACCTAGGCATCAGAATTGGGAAGCTCCCAATTAAAAATCTAGCTGATGACAATAAGAGAACCTGAGCTACATGGGTTCCCAGCTCAACCAATTTTCTCATTTACCACTCTTTCACTAGTCACATGGCCTTGATAAAGTCTGTTTCCTTATACCTGTAGAGGCTAGGAAGCACAATATTGAAGTGTCTCCATCAGTTGAGGGTCTTATGTCATGGCTTGGCAAAAGGTATCACGTAAGAGAAGAGAATCCTCCCCGCCCCCGCCTTTTTTTTTTCTTGTGCTAGTATTAGGGCTTGAACTCAGGGTCTGGGCACTATTCCTTGGCTTTTTCCACTTAGAAATGGTGTTCTATCACTTGAGCCACAGCTCCACTTACGACTATTTTTTTGGTGAATAAGAGTGATGTGGACTTTCCTGCCTGGGCTAGCTACAAATCGAGATCCTCAGATCTCAAGCCTCCTGAGTATTTAGGATTATAGGCATGAACCACCTGGATGCAGCTTTTCACTTACCAGGTTAAAGGAAATTTGAACTGGGGCATGGGAAGGGAATTTTTCTAAGCATCAGTTAGTTAGACGTGATCACCATTTCCCTTCGATCAGAAGTTAGGGGTATCATCAAGCCTTTCCAGCTTACTTGGGGGTCTTTTCGATTTATTCTTTCCTAGCTATTAGATTTCCCAGAAAGAATTGGCCAAATTAGTAGTTGAAGGACATTAGCAATAATGGGTTGCACACCCTGCAGCACTAAATCTGCACAATGGCCTGTTTATACTCAAACTCAGAACACTTTGAGGGGCAGTTTTTATTTACTTTGACTTCGACAGGTTACCGCCACCGGAAGAAGGGCACCGTTAGAATCTTCCCGAATCATTCCAGTCACGAGTCCAGTCATTGCTTCCTTTGGGCTACTCCCTCTGGCCAGGCCCTCCTCCAGCCCCTCGGTAAAGCTGCAGTCCTACCGAAGCCTCAAAGCCTCGGTGGCGGCGGGCGGGCGAAACAGCGCAACTGGGAACTTGGCCCGACCAGGCCAAACCTGAGCCACCGGAAGTGTTCCGGGACGGCGCGGAGGCCGCCAGCGCGGGCGGAAGACGGCGCCGCCGGAGTGGGTAGGGGGCGCCGCGAGGGGCGGGGTCTCAGCTCACTGGGGGCGGG